GGAAGGGTCACCGGACCCGAAACGTTAACTCTGTTTCCTCCTCCACAGATGCTGCCAGACCCGCGGAGCTTTTCCAGCAACTTTGTTTTTGTTCAGTACCATAATGGCTCCTTTGACAAATATGTTTAAAGAAGGCATAAAATTTGAATGGATGCAAGGATGTCAGAGTCAGACAACTTGAAAGCTATGTTGAGAACGGCACCTATTTTAGTAGCACTGAATTATAATGAGCTATTCAAACCAGCGACATCAGTCCGTAAGATAGCGAATGTGGCTCAAACGACCTACCTGCTATTTTTCAAAGAAATTGATTGCATGTTAACAGAAATGGTCAATGTTGGATAAAAGAGATATTTTGAAATCTAGATCACTGACAATGCTGAAGAAACTTATGGAAATTGACCGCAACCATTTGAATTTTTGGAGAAATTCCAGGACAAAACTTACGGTTGTTGCTGGAGTTTAATCTTCCAGCAATAAAATTTAAAAATGATTTATGTGCCTGGAAAAGAATGTTGTATCTGATACTTTATCATGAGCACACATGAAGGAATCAGAATGCTACAATCCAAATGGACTTACATAAAATGTGGTTGCTATGAAATCCATTTTATGTTTAATGTCAACATACCGTTATTGCCAATATAACATGGAAATCGTGTTAAAAGGTTTTATTTTGATATGGTCTGAAAAAATTTGGGAGTGTTAATGGAAAATTGTTTATTCTGAGCTGGTCCAAGAAAAGTGGACTAAACACTTCAGGTCATAGAGTCATACAGCACAGAAACAGACCCTTCGATCCAACCAGTTCATCTCAAATATAAGCACGAACTAAACTAGTTTCACCTGCCTGCTCCATACCCCTCCAAACCTTTCCTATTCATGTACCTATCCAAGTGTCTTTTAAACGTTGTAATTGTACCCACATCTGCCACTTCCTCAGGAAATTCATTCCATATGCTAACCATCCGCCATGTAAAATTGCCCCTCATGCTTTTGTAAATCTTTCTCCTCTCACCTTAAAAATGTGCCCCCTAGTCTTGAAATTTCCCACCTCAAAGAAAAGACAACTACCATTAACTTTCTCTATATCCCTCAGAAGTTTATAAACTTCCCCAAGCCGCCTCTCAACCTCCTACGCTCCAGTGAAAAAATCCCAGACTATCCAGCCTTTCTTTATAACTAAAACCTTCCATACCCGGTAACATCCTAGTAAATCTCCTGTGAACCATGTCCAGCTTAATAATATCCTTCCTATAACTGGGCAACCAGACCTGGTCACAGTTTTTCAGAACAGACTCCACCAATGTCCTGTACAACCTCAACATGATTTCCCAACTCCTATACTCAAAGGACTGAGCAATGAAGGCAAGCATGCCAAATGTTTTTTTAACCATCATGTCTACGTGTGACGCAAACTTCAAAGAATTATGTTCCTGAACCCCTCAGTTCTTCTGTTCTACAACGCTATCCAAAGGCCCTACTATTAATTGTACAAGCCCTACCTTTGTTTGTCATAACAAAATGCAATACCTTGCATTTATCCAGATTGAACACCATCTGTCATTTTTCAGCCCACTGACCCATTTGATCAAGATCCCTCTATAATCTTAGAAAACCTTTTTCATTGTTTACTTTGCCACCAATTTTGGTGTTGTTCACAAACTTACTAACCATGCCTTCTATATTCTCATCCAAATAATTTATATAAATGACAAACAAAAGAGGACCCAGAACCAATCCCTGTGGAACACTGCTGGTTACAGGCCTCCAGTTTGAAAAGGAACTTCCACCACCACTCTGTTTCCTGCTGTTAAGCCAATTATGTATCCAATTGGCAAGTTCCCCTTGAATTCCATGTAACCTAAATTTACTAATTAGTCTACCATGTGAAACCTTGTCGAAGGCTTTAGTAAAGTCCAAGAAAAACAATGTTTAATGCCCTGCCCTCATCAATTTTTTTGGTAACTTGCTCAAAAAACTTAATCAAGTTTGTGAGACACGATTTTCCTTATGCAAAACCATGCTGACTATCCCTAATTAATTTTTGCCTGTGTTTAAAAGATGGGATTTATGGACATTTAATCACCTCCAACACTTTACCCACAACTGGTCAGATCACAGGTCTATAGTTCCCCCATAGTTTCTCCTTATAATCTTTCTTAAACAAAGGTACAATTTCCTCCCTTACTTTCCACAACATTCTGGGATACATTAGATCAGATTCCAGAGATTTATCCACCTTTACATTCTCTAAGACATCCCGAACTTCCTCTTCTGCAATGAGAACTGTTTTTAAAATATAAAAATTTATTTCTCTGCATTCTCTAGCCTCCATTTCTTTCTCCACATTAAAAACTGACACGAAATATTCATTTAATACCTCTCCTATTTCCTGGGGTTCAACACAAAGATGACTTCCTTGATCTTTAAGGGGCCATAACCTCTCTCTCGTTACCCTCTTGCTCTAAATGTATTTGTAGAAATCCCTTAACCTTAGCTGCCAATGTTATCTGATATCCCCTCTTGGCCTTTCAGATTTCTTTCTTAAGAATGCCCCGACACTCTTTATATTGATTAAGAGATTCAATTGAACCAAGTATCTGAAATAAGATTCTTTTATTCCTGACTAGAACATCAATATCTTTATTCATCCATTGTTCATTAATCTTACGAGCCTTACCCTTCACTTTATCAGGAATATAATGCCTCTGAACTTCCATCATCACACTCTTGAAAGGCTCCCACTTGTCAGGCATCCTTTTACCTGCAAACAATCTACTCCAATCAACTTTTGAAAGTTCTCGTCTCATACCGTTAACATTTGCCTTACTCCAATTAAAAACTAACTCTTGTGGAAGGCTCATCCTTTTCCATAACCATTTTGAAACTAATATAATACAACTGCTAGACCCAAAGTGTTCCCCCACTTTTACTTCAGGCACCTGCCCTGCCTTATTGCCCAAAAGAAGGTCTAGTTTTGCTCTTTCTCTGGTAGGAGCATCCACACATTATAAAGAAAATTTTCTTGAACACATTTGACAAATGCTTCACCATCCAAACCTTTAACACTATGGTAGGCCCAGAACAATTGAGGATTGATTTTAGCTTATGAAACCCAGAGACTCAAATTTGACACCAAAAGACTCTGCATGAATAAACATTTATGAACTAATGTAATATTGAAACATCAATTTGTAACCTTATTTCTGTCCCCTAGCCAAACCAGTTTAATTTTTTCAACTACTTACCAGCTTCAGCAGCTGAGATAAGGTGTTGAGTAGCGTTAAGTTGTTCTGGACGACCATTTTGTTTGTAGGCTTTGATGGCATTATAACTGAAAGTAACATATCGATGTTTAGTAATTCAGTAGCGATTGCCAACACAAAGAACATTACTATTATTACAGATTTTGAAAATGCTCCTATATTACTAACCTACTCAGTTTTAAGAAAACAAGGACTACTGGAGTAACTTTCACTGCAAGAACCAAATTACTCGTTTTTCCTTAACTACTTTGATTAAAGCTGAGGGAAAAAAAGATTAGAAGTTGTTCGACAGTAGCAATTATCAATTGCACACATGAGCAGAACCTAAAGCATTAAAGACTCTAGATTCTATGCAAGAGATTCTGAGACTTCTTTCTATTCATTTGGCATTTTTATCTAATCATTCAACTGCAATGAATCTGGTTATACTGCCTAAGTCTCAGAGTATAATATAGCATTACTTGTGGATACACTGAAGTGCGGCTTGGACAACATACTGACACATTGAAACTGCTGAAACTGTCTGGCTTAGAACATCAGATTCAACTTTGTGAGCTGGACAATGAACACGTGGGAAGATTACACCCAGGCAAGAATCCTGACAAGTGGTTGGCCCTGCTGCGGAAAGGAGTTTTTTTTGGCGTGATTTTAAGATTTGTAATATTTTCCTGTGTGGTTGAATTCTATTAAAATGTGATCACAATAAGGTCTATACAATGGGATTAGTGAGGAACGAAACAGCTTTGTGATGAGATAGATATTTATTTTGGTGAAGAGTGATAAACTCTTAACTGATGAAAAATAAGAAACAATAAGATAAAAAATAAAAAAAAAGATAGTTTGCTGGACATAACGTAAATGATAGTTTTACGTACACAATAGACACAAGATGTTATTGCAGAAATTCAGGCTTTAAGCGAATAAGCCACACCAGTCAGATTTATTTGTCACTTATTCTAATCACTTTTTAGAAGGAACAAGACTTGCACATAGCCAACAGACATCTCAATTTGTTTTAGTCAATGAAGTACTTTTGAAGCACAGCACACAGGATACAGGAATCATCACCTCCACCCACACTTTACTGCTCTTCTTCAACATAGTGCCACAGAATCTTTTACAAGCACCTGAAAGTTCAGACCATGCCTCAACTAAAGACCTCATCTGAATGATGGCAACTTTGACAGTGCAGCAGTCCTGAGAGAATGCACTCGAGTGTCAGGCTTAGATTTTCTCTTCTGTGTTCAAGTCCTGGAGTGACTGACATTTCAATCCGGGACCTTACAACTTGCAGGCACAAACAAATATGCTGGATATCTGTGTATATATTTAAAATTTACGGCCCAGATCTGCATTGTGCTGCTTACAGATCACAGCTGCATCTCAGTGGCAAGGTGCCGACTGTTGGCCAGGAATTTCTTCATAGGCAAGAAAAACTTTTCAGAAGGATCTTAGGACATCCTCACCTACCCCTAGCATCAAATTAACAGGTGGGTTGTGGGAGCATATGAATAGGTCATCGAACCTTTTTGTCCATAGAAGCAGCCATTTTTTTTGTATTATTTATTCAAGTGATATGGGTATTGTTGGCTAGGTTTATTACCGTGGAGATGTTGAGCTATCTTCTTGAACAGCTGCAGTCTTTTGGATGTCATACACTCACGATGCTGTTTAAGCACGGAGTTCCAAAATTTTAACAAAACAATGATAATATAGTTCTGACTCAGGATGGTATGCTGCTCAGAGGTGGCTTAGTCCACATGTATCTGCTCCCTAGTCCTTCTAATGGTATATGATGGTACTAAAGGAAGTGGCCCTGGAACTACTGGATGCACTGATGGTCATCTTGCAAAACCCTATACCACAAGGACTGCACCATTTGTGGAGGTTGGGATGGTCTTCGAATAGTCAATGCAGACTCAGTGGGCTGAATAACCTCTTTCTGCGTTGAATGGATTCTATGAATTCTAGCTGAATCTAGTCGAAGTAACATTTCTAGTACTTACAAGAAGAAGTATAATCCCCAAGATAAACCTGCACCCCAGACATTTGGGGTTACTCCTTGGTAAAGGCCTCTAATTCCTTCCTGTTTCCAGATACTTCTGAAACAATGTACAATTCCGTTGTATTTTGGCCTCATCTGCAACCCATCACTCACTGCAAGAGAAAAAAAACACATTTCCATGTTCAAGTAACTTACGCTTCCAGGTTAAATATTATGGCTTAATTCTTTTTAATCAAACTACTGAACTTTTCTAATATAATAAATGGCAACTTACAGCCCTCAGGTAGAACTCACAAATATCCATCATTCAGTTAAACACGTCTATTGCAGTGACATGAGTTAACCACTCTAAATATGTTGACATGTTGGTCATAGCACCCTCTTTCTCTGTGGATTTTTACCTTGCACATTCCAATAATTCCTTGACCAATACCACCGGGAGCTGCTTGGTCAATCATGGTGGTAAGGTCTGAAGAGATGCCAAGCAAAGTGCAGTGCAAAAATCCACAAAGTCAGGACAGACAGAAGAAAACATTTCTCACCTGCTGTGAAGGTGAAGGAAGGCTGCAATACAACAGTGGGTTCTGGTCATCATGGTTTGACATGTCACCAAAATCTGGCACCCATCAATTATTTTTTGACCACAAAAATAGCAATTTCACAGAATGATTACCAGCCAGGAATGGGGACAGTCTGACATCACCAAAATTGGATAGTGAACCTATCTAAATCAGGTGGACAATGATACTGCCCCAAGGTCCCAACATTAAATGATGTCATGCACAGGCTTCTATCAAAGTCCATCTTCCAAATCTGCGATGATGAAGGATTGCAGGCAGGGATAGGGCTGCGAAACCAAAGTCCCTCGCCACAATCTGCACCAACAGGGCAGATGCATAAATGCCACTGGGATGTCAGATTTGGGAAGTGTTGTTTGGCAGCAGTAACTGTAACTGAGCCATCTTCTTTGAGATATCCACCACTCACCCAAAGTGGTGAGGGAGCAAGAAAGAATGCCTGAAAATAGGAGGCCCCACTTTTTCCTGATTAGGGAACTACACCCAATGGGATCATTACATTTTCAGTCAAAGAAACTCCAAACTTTCTAAATTGGAATATTAGAATGGTCACGGAGAATGTCAAGAGTAACCATCCCAAAAGAAGACCTACAATCCTTTCCCACGAATTGTCAAGATTCCAAATTAACATCCCTGCCCCAATGAAACCCGCCTTCCTGAGCAGCTGAGAAGAAAGGAGGAAAATCACCTGGAAAGGTTAACAGCAAGCCTCACATCCACAGAATTGGTTGCCTTCAGATTAGGATCTTCCCCACTATGTCCTTATTGTACAAATGAAAATGTCATGAAATACGACCTTTAGCTCAGACATTGTCAATACTTTACCATCACGTGCTTATGCCTAGACCTTTGACCAACCAAGGTGTTACTGTTATTATAATTAATACCCTCTTCTACCAGAAAGAGGAAAACAAAACCACATAGGGCCATCAGAACTCCATGATCTCATTCTGTGGATTCTGACTGAAAAAGAATGCTTACCCCACCTTCCCCAATTTCTGGAATGATGCAGTTGTAATTATCTTCAAGAAGGAAAGGAAACGATGCTGCGGAAACTATCAAGATGTTTTCTTCTTGTCCACAGCAGGGAATTCCTGACAAGCAATCTCCTGAAATATGTACTTCCAGGAGGTGAAGAAATACTTTCAGAGAGGAAAGATATTTTTTGGAGGTGATGGAGTTCATGGCCACTGGCTGGAAAATTGGCAACACGCACTCTGCCTCTTCATAGAGGGCCTGCTGTATGGCATACTAATCAGGCAGTTGAGAGATCAACAGCAGGCTTTCAACAAGAGGATCCCAGTAGCTACCAAAGGCTGCTGCTCTCCACCACACAGAAGGCAATGACTGCTGCAGAAAAATTTCTCACTAGAGATGTAGGACCAGAAGTGATGGCGGAAACAGTTTTGTAGGAGAGGGCACTTTATTCATTCTCAACTCCGAATCCCCACCCAAAAGCCCAGGAGAATTCAATCAGGGTAAAGGTGCTCCCCTGTGTGGAAGTGACAGACTCTGTGAAGAGCTGTTTTGCCAATCACAGATGGCTTCTCCCAGACTTGACATTGATAGGTTTAACTGCATCATATCGAGTGACCTATTAGCATCAAACACAGAAGAGAAACAGCTTACTATTGGAAGTGGTGCAGGAAAGTGAGTGTTGCCTCTTCACCCATTTGCGCCAGGGTGCATCTCAAGTACGCCTGCGACACAAGCACAAGTAACAAATCCAGACTTTCCATTATGGTGGTTTGAGATGGAGGGTGTGGGGGAGAATCTGAGCCAAGTTGCATTTTAGTCTCTCATTAGCAATCAGGCAAGCCAATCCTCCCACTTGTGGGTTGGTACGTTCAGCTAAGCTGCCATTCACTGAGGCCAGGAGAAGTTCCCCTGCAGGTGTGTGCAGTGTGATGGCTGCACCTCCCATCTTAGTGGATAATGCTGCTCTAACAGTTATTATTGATCCCCTTCCTTTCCACTATCCCTGCCGACTTTAATTTATACACCTATGTTAAAGAAAATTGGCCATTTGAGCTTCATGTTAATTTTTTTTCCTCCTCAATTGAGTTTCTGTTATTTTCTTTCTGCAAAAAAGAAAAATCAATAAATTGCTGGACAGTTTATGGGAGTGATAGCCAAGTAGGTTATGCATCTTTGTGTGTGAATCTTCCAGTCTGCCACAAACTACTTGACAGACATGCATATATTTAGTTCTTTCCATTAAATTTAAGGTTCACATTTACAGACAAAAATACAAAGAGTGTGTTGTTTTTCATTTCCTGGTCTTGTTATAAAGTCTAACAATCCAACATTTTCCCCCATGCTTTTGTGGGATGTGAGTGTCACTAGGCCAGAATATATTGCCCATATACTGCCAATTGGCATAGCTGCCATTAGGCCAGCTGTCTATTCCAGATTTTATGGCCTTTAAATTTCATAATTTGCTGTGGTACAATTCAAACCAATTTTTTTAAAATTCATTCACAAGATGTGGGATTCAATGGCCAGGCCAGCATTTATTGCTCATCCCTAATTGTCCAGAAGGCAAAGAGTCAACATGTTACTGTGCACCTAGACTCACTTGTACCTGGGTCTCTGGATTAACAGTCTAGCAATAATACCATTAGGCCATTGCCTCCCATAAAACATAAGCCTAAACTTCTGGTGTGCCAGTATGGTGACGTTACCACAATACCATCACTTTCCTTGTAATGCCAAAACAGAAAGAGTAAAAACCAAATTGCACTCCCTCTTGGCTTTTTTATGCATTGTGTAGTTTGAAAACAGTGAAAATTTTTGTTTTGGGAATGGAACATTTCAGATTTATTTCCAACAAATCAGCAAAAACAACTGACTTATAGATTCTAAATTAAAAGACACATCTTATTTGGTAAATAATTGTTATTTGTGCTATCTTATCCAGGGGAAATCCCAAACAAAAACCCAAATAGGGAAGTAAAATAAAATAAAGAACTGTGGATGCTGGAAATCTGAATCAAACACAAAAATTACTGGAGAAACTCAGGAGGTCTGGTAGCATCTTTGGAAATAAAGAGTTAATGTTCAACCCAGTGACCCTTCTGAAGACACAGAGTTTCTGCAGCAATTTCGGTTTTTGGTCCAAATAGGAAGGCAATGTTGCTACGTAACGGCATCAGCTAATACAGTAACTGAAACTGAAGAAGCAACCTGAGAAAATGTTAAGGAAAGTTCTCAAAAGCAATTTTGACCCTGCATCTGACAGATTGCATTCACCTCAAAGGTTAACTGCCCTCTGGTGTCAGTATTGTATTAAGTACCACATAGACAGAAAACACTTTAACCTCAGTTACTCCATGTAAAATTAAACTAACCACTGTAGACGTACATTACCACAGTTTCCAAATGACTAGTGTCATTAACTACTACATCAATTTGCAAGCCACTCTCAATCTCTTTGAACTTTACCTGTCCTTGAACGTTGTCAGATCAAAACTCAAGTATCAACCAACAAAACCAAATGTCCTAACTCCTGTAGATCTTGAAGGAGAAGCTCTAGAATACATCAAGTACTTGCCGTACCTTAGCTGCCATCTCTCACAGAAGGCCACCGTTGGTGAGGAGATCAAACATGAGATCAGCTGTGCCACCTTAGCCTTCCACAAACTGTGTCAGCAAATATGCGCTAAGAAAGATCACCGCAAGAGATCCTAGTGTGCAGAGTAGTTATCCTCACCACATCCCTGTACTACTGTGACACCTGGACTGTACATTAAGAGTAAGGAAGAAATTTTTTCAGTTGTTTCAGCGGCGGGAGTCCGGGAGGAAGCGCGAGGGCACCCTGGGAAGGTAAGCTTTTCGATTATAAAAGTCTTACCTTGCGTGACTCCATTTTTGGAGTGAGTAAGTGAGGTAATATATTTGGGCGGTTGCTTTACCCGAAACACTACCTAGGTAGTGTCTCCCACCCATCCTCCTCCTCTAACCAAAAAAAAGGTTCCGAGCGCTGATTTGGTAAGGTTACTAGTTTTTTTTCAATAGTCTGTTTGGGAATTCAGAACAGTGGGAATGGATGTTAGGGCAGTTGCATGCTCCTCCTGTAGAATGTGGGAGGTAAGGGTCACCACCAGTGTCCCCACTGACTTCATCTGCGGGAAGTACACCCAACTCCAGCTCCTCGGAAACCGCGTTAGGGAACTGGAGCTGGAGCTGGATGAACTTCGGATCATTCGGGAGGCTGAGGGGGTAATTAAGAGGAGTTACAGGGAGGTAGTCACACCTAAGGTACAGGAAAAAGGTAGACGGGTTACAGTCAGGGGACGGAAAGGGAACAGGCAGACAGTGCAGGGATCCCCTGTGGCCGTTCCCCTCAAAAAACAAGTATACCGTTTTGGATATTGTTGCGGGGGGATGACTTACCAGGGGTAAGCCATGGGGTACAGGTCTCTGGCACAGAGTCTGTCTCTGTTGCTCAGAAGGGAAGGGGGAAGAGGAGGAGAGCATTAGTCATTGGGGACTCCATAGTTAGGGGGACAGATAGGAGATTCTGTGGGAACGAGAGAGACTCGCGGTTGGTGTGTTGCCTCCCAGGTGCCAGGGTCCGGGACGTCTCGGATCGTGTTTTCGGGATCCTTAAGGGGGAGGGGGAGCAGCCCCAAGTCGTGGTCCACAAAGGCACCAACAACATAGGTAGGAAAAGGAACGGGGATGTGAGGCAGAAATTCAAGGAGCGAGGGTGGAAGCTTAGAGCTAGAACAAACAGAGTTGTTATCTCTGGTTTGTTACTCGTGCCACGTGCTAGCGAGGCGAGGAATAGGGAGAGAGAGCAGTTGAACACGTGGCTACAGGGATGGTGCAGGAGGGAGGGATTCAGATACCTGGATAATTGGGGCTCATTCTGGGGTAGGTGGGACCTCTACAAACGGGATGGTCTACACCTGAACCAGAGGGGTACCAATATCCTGGGGGGGAAATTTGCTAATGCTCTTCGGGAGGGTTTAAACTAATTCAGCAGGGGGATGGGAACCTGAATTGTAGCTCCAGTGTACAGGAGGTTGACAGTAGTGAGGTCATGAATAAGGTTTCAAGGTCGCAGGAGTGTACCGGCAGGCAGGAAGGTGGTTTGAAGTATGTCTACTTCAATGCCAGGAGCATCCGGAATAAGGTGGGTGAACTTGTAGCATGGGTTGGTACCTGGGACTTCGATGTTGTGGCCATTTCGGAGACATGGATAGAGCAAGGACAGGAATGGTTGTTGCAGGTTCCGGGGTTGAGATGTTTCAGTAAGATCAGGGAAGGTGGTAAAAGAGGGGGAAGTGTGGCATTGTTAGTCAAGGACAGTATTACGGTGGCAGAAAGGACGTTTGATGAGGACTCGTCTACTGAGGTAGTATGGGCTGAGGTTAGAAACAGGAAAGGAGAGGTCACCCTGTTGGGAGTTTTCTATAGGCCTCCGAAAAGTTCCAGAGATGCAGAGGAAAAGATTGCAAAGATGATTCTGGATAGGAGCGAAAGTAACA